TGGAAACTGTTCAAGGAAGTTGTACGAGACAAGGCGTCTTCAACTACATTGTTTGCTTCAGAAATGTGTTGTATATCTGAAGTAAACTGCGAAATGTAGTCGAGTTGTCGAGACTCACGAGGTGAGTACTTGTCTGAAGATGATATTAAAGAGAAGAAAGAGGTTTATGATCGGTAAAAAGTGTGAATCCTCTTCCTTCGATGGAGCATTGTAAATGCCGTACAGCACAATACATAGCTAGGAGTTCCCTACCGAAGTGCTGTACCTAGATTCAATGTCTAGCAACCGTCTCGAGAAAAATCATAAAGGTTGCCAAGAGTGGTCAACCTATTGTTGTAAGACTCCTGAATTATTTACAGATACACGAAGAAAGTCCAAAAACTGAGATCAAATAACCTATGTCTGGAGTTTCGTTTCTCGCACCGAGTATTGAATTACTGGACTTCTCTACCAGAACAGGTAATATCAGCACCTTCTGTTGATATATTCAAAACGAGATTGGACCTTCGCAGTCCAACAAACTGCAAGCGTTAAAGTAGGTCCATACACCTCCTATCGTTATTACTGAAGACCAAATTCTTTTTTCTCTCCTCTGTTATAGTTAATGTACCTAGGTTCTTGACTAAAGGTATTGGTGATCCACTCCTACTAGACACGGAAACCCGTTAAGCGAAAGCTTCTTCTATTCCGTCTACAACCATTTGAAGATATTGGATATTGGATGTCATGGTGGTTAAATCAAGCATTGCGTCGCGTGTACTACATCGTGTGAGGTGTGGTCAAAGTATGTATTCTGTGCAGGGTCACACATTTACGTCTACTTTATAAATTCCTGATGAAGATTGTTGCAGCAGTGCTCGTCATTTTGATTTTGGTTTATTCGAGCACTTTTTTGAAAATCTCTTATGTTTTCATTAGAAATAAGTTCATAAGTCACTTCACTAATTGGATTGTCGGGATGCTTCTTCCTCCCTGGGTTTTTCTCGCAGCTAATTGGGCTGTCATACTCAAATCAGATAGTTAGGCTTCTGGCTCAGATAATTTTAGTTATTCTCATGAGGAGTTATATCTATTTACAGACGTAACAGATTTGAAATTCATACCGAAACCTGTACTTGGGAATCTCAAGCTCTCCTGATCTCATACTATTGTTGGTCGCTCTCATCGTTGAGTGTAAGCACGCTTATGTACCTGTTTGAACATCTCCAATGTCTTTGCCACGAGCTTGTATAAATCAACTGATTCATTCGTGCTCACTTATTGTTTCAGTGCGGTTCCAGGTATTTGTTAATGTTCAGTGGTTGTTAGTCTAGCAAATTGGCTGCGATAATTCCAGTCACTTCAGTAGACATTTTTAGACTTGTATATTTGGAAACGAAAATGAGAAACAGAAAGTTTCTGATATCCGAAAATGATAATCGTGTTAGTTTATGAAACATGCATCAAAAAGCCGGTCCAAGAGAGATATGGCAACTCATAGGTGAGCACGTGTTTGTCAAGTATCCTCTTGAAGCTATCCACTGAGGGGGCTGCATCCACTTCGCCCAGGAGAGTATTCTAATCAGTAGTAACTCTTGATGGGTAAATGTGGGAGTGTACCTGTGTGTCTTCTCCTCGATTCGCAATCTTTCTGGAATTGTTTTGCAGAGGTTGGTAGCAATGTTCAGGTAGGTTCCGTATTGAGGTAACTTGGCATATCTAATAAATTGTATGCCATCACCAAACCACCTTTTATTCCCTTGAAGTTCAGTAAGTATTCCCAAATGTTTGAGTAGACTGTCGTTTAAGGTATGTTCACCAGTTCCGTGCAAATTGGCCCCTAGGTTTTTTGCTAATATAGCGTGTCACATTGTCTGAGTTTGTAGTCTTTTGTCCTTCACTACTGGTTGTTATCAAAGTTAAATGAAACCAAGGTACTTTCTATTTGGCTTCCCCACTGTTGTCTAATGAGGCAAGGAACTCCAACTCCTAAAGCGCCACAAATCATCAGGCCCAGATGACTTACCTCCTGCCCTTTGTAATGATGGTGGCAACTTTCTAATTAAAAAACTGATTGGGTTGTGTAAGGAGGTCTGACAATTAATGAGTGTTTCGACATCGTAGAATGAGTTGATAGTTGTCTTTTAAAAGGGTTAACGTCGTTTCTGAAATAATTAATGGGTTAAGTCTACTTCCGGTCGTGTCCAAACTATGGGCTTCCACCATACTTCGTAGATTGTTCAAAACCTGAGAAATATTGACTCACAAGAAACATGCCGTTTTTCTTTCCGGTTGAGGATGTTTTGATCATATCTTCACCCTCCACCAAATTTTAGAACACCGTCGTACTTATTATATGTAAACACTCCTAATGTTTCCTGGCATTGGGGTGGCCTTGGATTCTTTGAACAGGACAATATTGTCTTACTGTGCAATGATACCCAAACCATGCACTTCACACTTAATCAGTTGGTAGTCAATATCCGTAGGTGTGGCATATGCTTTGCACCTTTCAAGTGCAAATTACTTCTACAAGATAACCTGTACTCGCCTTAGACAGTGAGCAGGCGAACGTAGTCGAAAATTTCGTGTATCAGGATAGCTTGCGTTAGTTCTGTTGACGGCATAAATAATGAGACCAATTCATGTATAGTAAAACCCAGAGCGGCTTATTCGAATGTGGGCCATCTATGCCGCCTTCGTGATGTTAGTCTGGTTGTAAAAGGTCGGATCTAAAACACGTCAGTGACAGCAGTTTTGCTCTATGATTGTGAGACCTGGCCTCCGAGTTAAAAATGTTAAAAGACAACTATGTTTGATCATCGTTGTCTGCGAACGGTTGCTTACATCCAGTGGCAAAACCGTGTTGGCAGTGCAGAGGTTTCGGCATCGTGTGTTCGGGCGCGGCGACGATAATTCAATTGGTATCACTATCTTGAAACATCGACTTCGGTTGCTTGGACACGTTTTACGAATGTTGTCCCAGAGAATTTCACGTCGTGTATTATTTCCCGACTCCGAAACCTGTTGGGAGAAGCGAAGATGTGGTCAGTGTGTGACATAGTGTGGTGGTATGAAAGAAAGCTGTACAGGACTGGCTTCACGACTCCCTGGTTGAGATCCTAGAGATGATGCAACACAGTGGCTAGAGACATTATCAGACATGGCTTTAAGTGGAAGCCAGTAGCAATCCTGTTGTAACTATTTTACTTTCTTCGTAAAAGTATACGTAATTTCTTCATTTGAAAGAACTCTTTCTGTTTGTACTTTGCTTAACTGAACTGTTTCTCCCATTATTATTATTATTTCACCTTCGTACACTAATTTCTGTTCGTTGTTGTTCTTGTTTTTGTTATACGTACTTTACATCCTCTATCTCTTCACAACCCCATTGTTATTGTGTGACGTATATGTATTTGGTGTCTTCTTTTCCCAATGTTCATGTGTCCATATAATTAGTTTGAGATTTAGTTTCGGTGACGAGTTGAGTGATTCATGTTGTACACACTACTCTGACATTCATTAGCTGGTGTTTTCTTTAGCTTTCTTAAAATCCTGTTCCTATAAACAAAGAATTTCGACTTATTATCAAACTCTGAATTAAAATCTCTTCCTATGCTAGTTGTCCTTAGTTTTAGTGTACGTACTGTTGCAGCACTACTACCGCGCATACTGGCAGCAAAATCTGATTCAGGGCCTCCGCGCAGCATTATTGAGTAGTAGGGGCAACTTAACTAAGTGACTTAAGCGGTCGGCGATCAGACTAATTCATCACTCTTCTGTAAACCGAATTAAACTGTATTCCATTTGTTGAAGCTATTTAAGGTCCTGTGGGTTTCCCTATGTGTATGTGTATGAATTGTGTGAGTTTTGGCTTGTGGGGTAAATATATATGGGTATGTGCAAATACTACCCATGTGGTTTAGTAAAAGGAACGTAAGCTGAAAGATGTCTGTCCTGTTTCTAATAAAATCACTGGCCTAATCCTTCAGGCTGAATACATAATAAAACGTGATGGTAGTAAATATTAGGTAGATGTGACAATTCATCTTCTCTAAAAGAGTGCTTATGCCTATATGTATGCCATGAAATGCAAGGCGAAAGCCTTTGTACCAGTGATATTCATGTAATGCGTAACTGACATTCACTTGTCGTAAATATGTTTCTTAGGGAGTAGTGACCATCTACCCTTCCAGGTGGGTGAATATACTTATATGTATGCTATGGAATGGATAAGTGAAAACTTGTGTTACCGGTGTAGATGTAGATTATACTTGCCGCTGATGAGACACCCACGTACCTAAACCTAAGGATAGCAATTACCGCACAAAATCACATCCACGTGGTGGGTTTACAAACCTTAGGAGACGGAGACCGTTTCCAGAAAACCAGGCGGGTTCATGGGATAAGGCTTGACCAATCTTGACACTGCTGAAACACCCTACTGTGCATATTGCTCAATAAACTAAAAGTTAGATAATTTAAGAAGGAATTACACAAAACAAAAGTTTCGAAACAGATAAATGATATAGATCAGTGAATATATGCTACACAAGAATAGAACTTAAAATACATTTAAAATTGCAATGTTACCTTTGACCATCCTAGAAAGCAACTTTGCGTGTATTTAGTAACTTATCAACAAGTCCTGTGTTTGAAAGTTGATGGATTTGTGTATATTGCAATTGAAGCAGCTAGAAAAAAAGCAACTAGAGCAACCCGAACAGTTGGTCGGGACATTTTTTCGGTTATTCTGCTTCCCAGCTTTCTGCACACACTGCTTTGCACGCTCTCCCAATATTTAAAATAACTTGGTGAAAATGGCTGTAAGGAAATGGTTTGTCAATGTACACATTTCCAGTGATAACTGTCAATAACCCTCACTTCTTAACCAGTAGCGTTTAAGTTCACAGAATTTACACTGATTTTCATAATTTTCTCTTTTAGTATTCAATCCTACTTGTTATATCCAAATCGCTTTACGGGGTTAGCAATAAGGTCGCTACGGCAGTAAAACAGTCATGGCTGTGATTTCAGATATAAGGTATGTATACATTTGAGTCATTAGTGTTTTAGAAAGCCTAAGACGCATAAAGGAAAAAGAGTCTTGGAGCGAAGAGCTCCTAAATTAGTTGAGAATGACAAATGCACCCTTGTTATAAAGGGTGGCCACACAAGTGAAATTGTTAATACGTTTCTCAATGATTTAGTGAGTCGTATGTATTTGTCTTTTCATTATTAGTGCGCCTTGAAAAAACCACTTGTTTACCGTTTAAAGTGGAAAAATAGAGTCCTCCCCTTCGAAGACTTATCATTTATCGTAAGGTTTTTTCATAACTGTTCTATTTTGAAGGAGAAAATGTGCATCAAGTTCGACTGCTCAATGTTTGTTGTTGGGATGCATTCCAAGAAAAGGCCGCATAACATTATTTTTGGAAGGCTGCACGATGGTGAGCTACTAGATATGTTTGAGCTTGGCATAAAAATGTACAAACCGATATCGGATTGTAAAGTAACTTACAGACTAATAATGCTAACTTCTTAAAAGGACAAAACTCTTATATATGGAGCTAAGCCCATGTTAATGTTTTCTGGAGAGTTGTTCAACTTAGACACAAAATATATGACTTTAAAGTCTTTGTTAATAGGTACGTTGATTGTTATGCGTTCGGATTTTCTTAGATCTTTTTAAGGGCCCAACAGTTGAGAAGATAAGAACATTAGGTGTTGAACACCAGTTCCACTTTGTCTTGTCGTCAGACAAGAATCTGTGTCTTCGCGTCCGGAAAATAACTTTGTCAACAAAAGGCAAAACCAACTCAACTGAACTCAGTGTACCACCTCTAAAGACTCCAGATGGGAAAGTGGTTCAGATTTCACTTGAAGATGCTACCCCAAGTGCTGACTTCGATCTACGACGAGTATCTTTGCCGTCCGAGGTAAGTGACAAAACCCTCACATTTGATTCACTTTATATTAATTAGTCGCTTAGTAGTAACCAATGTCATATTTGTCTAGTTCTTAGCGTTGATTGAGTTCGGTCGACTGAGTTGTCTAGTCTAATTGATTCGGAATCTTGTCCGCTATATCCTAGTCCTTATATTTTCCTTGAAAGTCCACATTTAAGACGCTTTTTGTTATTCCGTCTGCTTCATCTGATTTCGAACTGTTTGTAGGTGCATACTACCTAGTTGAAGTCCGCATGATTGTTGTGAATACTGGTTGGAAATGGTGATTGATGTGGCTCAGAATCGATTGCAGTGGGCTAATGTATTCACTTCCTTCTTTCCTTAGATTCAAATAATCATATATTTTTTATTCCTCGAATTCACTCATTCTCAAATTAAACTATCTGTGCGTACTGTTTTAACCCTGTCATTACTTTGAAGAATGTGATGAAAAAACGGAGGTTATCAGAACTATGTGATATGTCTGCGCAATACATTTCGAACAATCTGATCACACATATAATTGTTAAGACAAAAAATAAAAGGTTAACTAGACAAATTAAAAGGTAAGGGGAAGCAAGGATAATAATAAAGTACGCCATGTGAAACCCAGGCTGAATAATGAATCATTATTAACATGGTAAATTTAGAGTAAGAACAAATTGTCTTTGTGCACATAAAGGGGGTTTCCTAATTATCCTGTAGAATTTGAAAATTTACAAGTTAAATCAGCAATAGCAGCACATTCTATTTGCAATAATCACCAAACTAAATTCATTTTGTATTGTTTGTTTGAACCTTCTGATTGATGTTTAGGATTGCAATTGATCATGCTCTTATTAGCATATGTGCATCCTATGCGGATTGCCTAGATATTGCTTCAAGTCACAAGCTTTATTAGGAAAGATGGATGGCGGCTAGCAATATCGAGGCAATCCGCGCAGGATGCACATATACTTATAAGAGATTAATCAATTGCAATCCTAAACATCAATAGGAAGGTTCAAACAATACAAAATGAATTTAAACTTCACCCCATTGGACAAGCTAGTGGCTGTTAGGACTCAGTAGCTGAGTGGATAATGCAATGGCGTTTGAAGTGAGTGGTACTGGGTTCGAGTTCCGGAATGCGCATCAACTCTGAGATGCAGGTACATCCAGCCGACGAGTCCCCAAAAAGGCGAAACGCGTGTCCTGGATTCCACTACTAGCCACTATCCATCTTTGCTTACAATCACCAAATGGATATTAAAAATATCAAAATAAGTCAGAAAGGTTTTTCCCAACCATAAAGAGAGACGAGTAGATGAAGCTTTCAACATATTTATAAATTCTTGTGCCTTTAATGGGAAAGAAGGGTTGAATATTCATACAACCTGGACTATTTATCCAAACAACCACACTTAAGCTTATTTTCCACACAATCTACACACACTCAGTCTCAACTCCACTACTTCATTTATGACGTAGGCGAGATATTCGTCTACCAACCAAAGGATGGGTTTACTGTGCAGCAGTTCGTTCCGTCCTAATTTATGGCAGTAGAACATGGCCGATAATAGTAGAGGATATTCGTAGGTTACTAGTATTTGATCACAGGTGTCTTCGAAGCATTTCTCGTATATGATGAGTTTTACCATCAGTTAACAGTTCTTCTCCAGAAAGCGCGTTCGACAGATATTGTAGTACTAGCCGGAGACTTGAATGCACAGGTCGGGCGTCTAGGCACAGAAGAGAGTCGTCTAGGTGGCCGATGGGGACTTGTTGGTCGCCGGACAGATAACGGGGACCTTTGCTGCAACTGTGCACAGACCACAACCTGTTTCTGGCCAGCACTAACTTCCGGCACAGTCATCGCCGGTGTGCCACCTGGCGTCCTCCCTCTGCATCCCAAGCCTGGACTCAGATTGACCACATCGCGATCAGCTACCGCTGGCGTGGTTGTGTACAAGACTGCCGCTCCTTTTGGAGTACCTATCTGGAGTCTGATCATGCCCTGGTCTGCGCCAATCTCACCTTACTTTTCAGTGGCCGAAGGATTGACCACCACCAACGGATTGATATTAGTAAACTGGCTGCAACTTCTGTTGCAAGTAAGTATCGAGCTGAGTTAGCCTCTAGGCTAGCTACCACCCCACCGAAAAGTATAGACGAGCATTGGTTGCATCTTCACGACGCCATGAAAATGGCGAGTAAAGCCGCTTGCGGCTTCGCGAAACGTCCCGCTTACAAGCACTGGGTTTCTTCTGGCTCCTTACAACTGATGGAAGCCCGTCGGTCTACTCCGGGTGACCGTGAGTTTGACCACAAACGAAGGCTGTTACGTAATGAAATCGGGCAAAGCTTGTGTAAGGACCGGGAAGCCTGGTGGTCGGAGCGTGCTAATGAGATGGAAGAAGCAGCTGCATCTGGTAACTGCCGGAAGCTCTTCCAACTCATCCGAGCCACTGGCAGCAAGTAGTCTGGTGTGAGTGAAACAATCTACGAGGATGACGGGATGCCAATCACTAACATCTGTCGACGTCTTGGACGATGGGCGGAATTTTTTGAAGGGCAGTTCAACTGGCCTGCTGCTCCGGCAACATCAACCAGCTTGTCCTGCTCCCCATGGCCGGTGACGACTGATCCACCAAACGAGGCGGAAGTCCGCAAGGAACTCCAACTCTTGAAACGTTACAAATCACCTGGCCCAGATGACTTACCTCCGGCTCTTTTTAAAGATGGTGGTGACTTTCTGGCTAAGGAACTGACTGCGTTGTTTGGAAAGGTTTGGGAGCAAGAAAGTGTTCCAACATCTTGGAATGAGTCAATAGTCGTCCCTATCTTTAAAAAGGGTTCACGTTGTTCCTGCAATAACTACCGGGGGATAAGTCTACTTTCGATCGCGTCCAAACTATTGGCTTCTATCATTCTTCGTAGGTTGTTTAAAACCCGAGAACGATTGACTCGCGAGGAGCAGGCTGGTTTTCGTTCTGGTCGAGGATGCATTGATCACATCTTCACCCTCCGCCAAATGTTAGAACACCGTCATACTTATCACAGGCCAACAATCGTAGTGTTTCTTGATATCAGGGCGGCCTTCGATTCGTTGGACAGGACTGTTCTCTGGGATTGTCTATTGAAGAAGGGTGTGCCTGAGAAGTTCATTAACATCTTAAAGGCCCTGTATACGAACACCTCAGGCAAAGTGAGGGCATACAACCACCTTTCTCCCTTGTTCCATTCGAGCAGTGGGGTTAGGCAGGGTTGCCCGATCTCCCCATTCCTCTTCAACTTTGCCATCGACGACATCTTGGAAACAGCTCTGATGGATGTAAGTAATGGCGGTGTGGATATGTTGCCTGGAGAACGACTTCTCGACCTTGAGTATGCGGATGATATTGTCTTACTGTGCGATAATGCCCAAGGCATGCAATCAGCACTTAATCAGTTGACAATCAGTGTCCGCAGGTACGGCATGTGCTTTGCACCCTCCAAGTGCAAAGTACTCCTACAAGACTGGCAGGATTCTCATCCTGTACTCACCCTGGATGGTGAGGAGATCGAAGTAGTTGAGAAGTTCGTGTATCTAGGTAGCTATATAAGTGCTGGTGGTGGCGTGAGTGATGAGATTGATGCACGTATAATGAAAGCCAGAGCGGCTTATGCCAATCTGGGCCATCTTTGGCGCCTTCGTGATGTTAGTCTGGCTGTAAAAGGTCGGATCTACAACGCGTCGGTGATAGCAGTTTTGCTCTATGCTTGTGAAACCTGGCCTCTCCGAGTTGAGGATGTTAGACGTCTCTCTGTGTTCGATCATCGTTGTCTCCGAAGGATTGCTGACATCCAGTGGCAACACCATGTTAGTAATGCAGAGGTTCGGCATCGTGTGTTCGGGCGCAGAGACGATAATTCAATTGGTGTCACCATCTTGAAACACCGACTTTGGTGGCTCGGACATGTTTTACGAATGTCGTCCCAGAGACTTCCGCGTCGTGCATTATTTGCCGACCCTGGGACTGGTTGGAAAAAGCGGAGGGGAGGTCAGTGTATGACATGGTGTCGTGGCATGAAAGAGAGCTGCAAAGGGCTAGCTTTTGTTGGTCCTTCACGACTCCCTGGTTGGGGTCCGAGAGATAGTGCAACACAGTGGCTAGAGACGTTATCGGATATGGCTCAGAATAGAAGCCAGTGGCGATCCTGCTGCAACCTTCTTTTACTTTCTACATAAAGAATGGTTCTAACTTTCCTAACTGAAAGAGTCTTCTGGTTGTACATTTCAGCCCGCCTTATCTTTTCATCCTTTATCTACCTACTTTCATTATTTTGTGTGGCGCATATGTATCTGGTGCCGTTTTGTACCAATATATGTGTTTAAATAAATAAACTCGTATATCCTGGGACCACTGAGTAAATAATGCAGTTGTTGGGAAACGGGTATTAGGTAAGGATGGCAAATCGCTTGATAAAGTAGTGAAACTTCATCAGTTGAGATGGTTGGGTTACGTATGCCCAACCACCGACTTCTTCGATATGCGATGTTTTATGATGTAGGAGTAGGTTGGAACAAAGCTAGGGGCGGCTAGACCAAAACGTCGCACAAATCGATGAAGTCACTGACAATTGGACTGAGTCATGTTGGTAGGTGTAGACTACTTGGTTGGGATACGCCAGATGATAGCAACCGATGGTTAGAGACCTTGAATGACATGGCTCAAAATCGTTTGCGATGGCGAAGGTGCATTCACTCTTTGTGTTCTATCAACTTCTAATCTTCTGAATTCCTCATGTCTCTATCTTTTTCTCTTTCCTAATTTATTTCACTGGATTATACTCCTTCAGCAACTTCTTCAAACCCTAATCTTTCACATAATGCTTATACTCTTACTACATCTACCACTATGGGATTTTAATGTACAACTGCACCTCTGTGGTAATGTGGTATGGTAACTCGAACTGATGTCAGTCAATTAGTTTGCTACAACGTAGGACCAGACACATATATGCATCGG